GGGAGGCACCGAGAGGGAAAGGGCGAGAGGTAGAGGGGGGGAGGGGGCGCGGGTGGCAGGGGGTCGGGCGGGGCAGGTGTGGGGGCGACGCGAAAGGGGCCAAGATGGTGTGCGTGCGTGTGTGTGTGTGTGCGAGGGTGGGCGGGTGTGGAAGTTCTCACTTGTGGGGAGAGAGTGTGTGTGTGTGTGTGCGTATGCGCCGCCCCCGGGGAGCGAAGATCGGCGCCCTTTGGGTCAATGTCCGATCGGGGTCACGTGGTCCGCCTGCGGACTCGGCCGGGCCCAGCCTCCAAGGGCGAGGAACAGATGCGAGAATGGGTGATTGGGGTGAGCAAGTTTCGGTGTGAGGATTTTGTTGTATTATTGTTTTCGCCCTGCGCGACGCCGGCTCTATCGCAGACTGGCGCGGGTGAATGCGTGTGCGCGCGCTTGCACTCGAGAATGAGAGGGGGGGGGGGGCAGAACAAGGGAGGGAAGGTCTCGTGTGTGTGTGTGTGTGTGTGTGTGTGTGTGTGTGTGTGTGTGTGTGTGTATGTGGACACCGACCCTCGCGTCTTTGGCTGCTGGTGCTGCTGCTGCTGCCGCTGTCGCGAAGGGGACCAGACGCCAGCAGCACACCGGCTAGAGGTCGGCACTCTTCTCGTAGAAAAGGAGATACCCAGTTTGGGTGATGACACGCTCGTTGGGCTTCGACAGTGGCAGCCCAAAGTACCGGCCAAGATCGCGGTTGGGGACAATCTATCGGGGGGGGGGAGGGTCAGCGCGGGGCGAGGGCCGGGGAGTGAAGGGGCGGGCGGAAGGCGGCGAAGAGCAGGCGCACATGCATGACCTGGTCGTCGAAGACAGTCCAGCAGTCGTCCGATGTCCGGGTGATGGCAATATAGTGTCCCTGGGAAAGATCCGCGCCGATGTGCACCACCACCGACATGAGGGTGTATGTGTGGTCCTCGGCCTCGGGGGTCTGGCCATTGGCAAGCGGACGTATGGGGGTCGTCAGAAGGAGGGGGGGGGGGGGCGGGGAAAAAAACTCCGATCAAACATTGTCCAACCCACGCAAGGGGGACATGATGAAGGGCAAGCGCCAAAAGGAGCCCCATTGGCGGGGGTCAGGCGCAGCCGGCACCACGCACCAGTAGCTCGGCCAGGCGCAGCTGCGTCGGGAAGGGAATCCGGCTGTTGAGCTTGTCCCCGCCCACCAGGCGCCCCGGGCCATGGTATTGCTGGGCGAAGGCATCGGCGAAGGCGGTCCCGGAGCGGAAGCGCTTCAGGTGCAGCGTGAGGATGGGCGGCGGCTCGGCCACGCGAATCGACCGCTCGGCTTCCTGTGGCGCCCCGGCGCACAGGGCCGACGCGCAGCGGAACTTGTCCTGCCCGCGCAGGAGCTCGCACGTGGCGAAGCGCCGCAGGCAGAAGGACACCGACACATGCTGGGTGTTTAGCGCGGATGCCTGGTAGTTGGACCGCTGGACCGGCAGGTGCACCACTCCCGGGGGGGTGGCCGGCGGGTCGGCCCCGGGCCCGGGCCCGGCCCCGGCCCCGGGCGCGGAGGGCCGCGTGCTGGAGGCGGCATTGGCGGCGGCCGCGGCAGACGCGGCCGCCGCCGCGCTGGGCTGGGGCCTCTCGGCCACCAGGTTCAAGGACAGCTCGAAAAATTGCTCAGTCTTCTTGGTCACCCGCTCGCAGGACAGGCACCGGGTCTCGTAGACAAACATCCCGGCAAACAGGTGGTGGATCCAGGTGGAGGGGGCCGCCGAGGGGGGAGCTCGATGCGCAAACGCGCCGGGCCAGCCTCGCCTGTGGGGAAGGACAGCGTATAGTGGCCGGAGGCATCGGTCGCACTGCCGGCAGCAGACGCCAGCGAGCCGACCACCGGCGAGTGGGCCGCCGGCCGGGTCTCCTTTTCCAGGGTTTCGGCCATGGAGTTCAGCATGAAGGTAAAAAATTCGTGGGCATCCTGGTGCGCGCGGGAGTTGAAGGTTTCTGTGGCCCAGGCCAGGGGAGTGATGTTGGAGGTCAGCCGGAGCGGGGAAGAGACCGCGAACGCACGGGCACACCCTCACGCGCGGACACATGGACACACGCTGGCACGCGGGCGTATGAGGACACAGACACACACACACACACAGACACACAGACACACAGACACATGTGCACAGATACATGCACACATGCACACACATATGCACACACACACACACACACACACACACACACACACACATGCACACATGCACACATGCACACATGCACACATGCACACATGCACACACACATGCACACACACATGCATGGCGCCTGGACGTACCATTCTCGGCTCGCAGAAAACTGATGAACTCCCGCGGGTCCACCACATTATCCGGCCCATCACCGGCGGCCTGGATCTTGCGGAAGATGTCCGATAGGAGAAATAGCAGGGTCGACCCGGGGGACTTTTTGGCGAACAGGTATGACCGGCTTTGGCGCATGGCATCGTTGTACTGCAGAAGGCGCGTCCGGAAGAGCGGGCACGCGTACAGCGCCTGGATCACGGAATTACAATAGCAAGTGTTGCCATGCTGGAAGGGGACATAGTCAGACGGGCCCCATCAATGTCGGTGCAGGGGGGGGGGGGTAGGGGAGGAGACGCGCACATTCAGCAAACCGGCGAAATTGACTTTGGTCGGCTCTTCAGGGGCCTTTGGCCCGGAGAAGATTGTCAAGAACTTACTCATCTCCGGCGCACGGTGCACAAATGGAGAGGAGGAAGGGCAGGCAGGGGAGACGGGGCGAGAAGGAGGGCGCGGGGAGGAGGGGCGGGGGGAGGGAGGGGAACACAGTGCCAGGGGGCCGGCGAGGGAGCAGGGGAGAAGGGGAGTAGCCAAGCGAGCGGCAGGCCCGCCCGGCAAGACGCAGCCCTCCCTGAAAGGAGATCTCAAAGGACGGCGCTGGACATCGAGCGAGCGTGACGAGGACGCGCGAAGGGGCCGGAGTGTGCAGCCAGCCGTGCATACCGAGCGCCGGCTGCAACTCCCATCTCTTTGTCCGGACCGGGGTCACCCGGCCCGAAGCGGCCCCCCGCCCCCGACAGGGGACACAGCACCGTGCGCCGGCCGGGCGCCCCCGCCCCCCGCTCGCCGGACTGACGATCTGACCCGGACCAGGTCGTCACATGACACACGATGCTTTGTTTTCCCTGCCGCCTCCGACCGTCGCACCGGTGCGTGTGTGTGTGCGTGTGTGTGTGTGTGTGTGTGTGTGTGCCCACCACGCAGGCGTGCGCGAGCATTTGAGGCGGGCAGGCGCGCCGACTTGGCCTCCCTCCCGAGACCTTCCAACAGACCCC